TCTTCCAGTGCTTAGGTGTTTCAAAACCTAATCTTTTCTCTGGGGACTGAAGGTCTTTCTTTTATGCTACTAGCTATTTTTCATCTAAATGAAAGTCCTCACTTTTATAATCTGTGAAATAACGAAGCTGTGTGGGATAAATGACCTTTAGGATCCCTTCAAGTCTTAACATTTTATTATTCTCTGAAGGGCCACATTAATCACTTTTTTTTTGTTAAGTTCTGATATGAATCAATGACTGATACAACTGGTAATTTTATTTTTAAAGAGCCCAGAATTATTTTTCATTAAAAAAAATTCTCGGGTTAGCAGGTGGCATGGTGGTTAAGATGCTGGACTCCCACGTGGTCAACTGCAGTTGGCCAGACATGACAGCTTGAAATCATGCCAGGTACATGCATATGCATGTCCAAAATCCCAGGAGGAGAATGGAGAGAAGTGATCGCAGTGTGGTCATTCCCCTGAGGGGTATTTCTCATTCTCACTCTCTCTGTGTCTCTCAGGTCAGTGCATGTGCCCTATGGCAAAAACTTGAAAAAAAAATTCTAATAGATAAATATTCATATTTATCCATGTCAATACTATTACATAAGATTGTGGCAAGAATATCTTTCCCAATAAAAAATTTAAAATATTTCAGAATTCTTAAAAAGTCAACATTGGGATTAAGCATTTTTAAGAAAATTCCAAAAAATAAGCCACTGACCTGATGACTTGGTTACAGTGGGCACACATGGGCGTTCGCTTCCCTGCTGGGATGTGCTCGGCTCTTTGCACCAGCGTGTCCTGGTCACTCGGCTGGGGCTGCCCCGCAGTTGAGTTAGCTGGTGCCCCTGCTCCTGAGGAAGCTGCACTGTTTGAGATTCTCCCAGTGGAAGGTCCTTGGAGTTAAAACAGAGAAAATCAGAATCAGTATAAGCCAAATATAAACCTCCTAATAATCACGTAATGATGAAAAGAAAAATCTATTCACTTCTTTTTCATTCACTCACTTGCTCATACTTATGACCCAAACGCTGAGGTGTGACTCCAAGATGAATAGAAAAAATCCCGGGATTACAAGGCGGTGAGAGGGTACGACAGATATAGACGCAGGATGCTGCTATAACGTATTTGCAGGCTCGTGCACTGGCCCGTGGACACCTTCCGGGGTCGAGGTGGACACACACTTCCCTCCACAGCATTGATCAGGGCCCAAGTAAGATCCACATGTCACACTCGGTTGTGTGTCTTTTAAATCTATTCTAATCTGTAAGTCACCCATCTTCCTACCCCTTACAACATGTAAGTAGAAGAAACCACATCTCCAATATAGTGAGCTTTTTCTATAGCAAAAGTTAAAGGAAAAAGTGAAGACTGGATTGTTACATCTTTTGAGCATGATAAGGTAATACTTAAGGCATTACTACTACTAAATCCAATCTGGTCAGGAACGTACAGCTTAGAAAGCTAAGTAACTTGCCTAAGGACACGGAGAACAAAGGGAAGCAAATGTTACTGAAGGTAGGGCTGCATTCTGGGCTTTCCCACTGCGGACAAGACGTGCCCGGCTTCTGCCCATATGGAGTTTAAGGAAGCTCACAGACCAGTAGACGGTCAATGTTGTTACTGAGGGGTAAATGCCTGAAAGATGGAAAGCTAATAAGCTTACTTACTGGCACTTACTCGCTCACCACGTATGTACCGTGACAGGGCAGGCGCTGTGCGTGCGCATGAACATGCGGTAGGGGACAGAGTATCGCATGGTCCCTTCCTGGGCAGACCACAGAGCTAGTTTCTGTTTGTTTGTGTGTGTGTGTGTGTGTGTGTGTGTGTGTGTTTAAAGTTGGAGGTGCCTGTGGTTCATCTCAGTACAATCTGTCGAATATATAAACTCAGGAGAAATATCAGAGCTAGAAGAATCTATTTAAGACGCCTCAGTGTGTTGATACCAGCTAAGTCTGTGGGAGAAAATGAAACTGTTCAGGGGAAGTGCAGCATGAAAACACAGCTCCTTAGTGGAAAAGCAAAGAACACACATACTGTAGGGACACAGAGAGAGGCGGGAGAAAAAGCGGGATATAATGGAAGCCAAGGGAGGACAGTGAAGATGTGTTGCCCCAAATCATATCTGTCTGACTCTAAAGCCCATGTCACTATGCATTCACTCATCAACTATTTCTTACAAACCTACATGTGCCAAGCTCTTCGTCAGGCACTGTCTTGATCATTGTAAACCAAAGGCATGAAAGATGTTGTCCCATGTGATCTAAACCTGAAAGGACTAACTCTGGAGCCATTCAGAGGAGGGGACAGTGATAACTGGGATAATTCGCTGGACATGCTGAAATACATTCACAAATAACGCAGGAAAGCATTCTCTTGTATTCACCGTGGTGCTCCAAGAGCCCACATGATCACTTTCAATCACTTCATGTATTCTGTTAAAGATCGGCTTAGTTTCCTACAGAAACACTACTTTCTTCTTAAGCCTGGCTGCCTGCTCTTTTTAGCCACTACAATGAATGGTTCTAACATTCCTGAAATAAAACACAGAGCTATAAGGCTAGATTCTTCATGTTTTCAGAAATATTTAAGGTGGTTTATATAAATTGCTTCAGCAGAGAAATGCAACTACAGATCTAGTATTTCTGCTGAGGACCAACAGGTTTGAAGCACTCAATCCACTGAGTTGTACAAGTTCCATATCGGTGTTAATATTTTAGCCACTACATTTGGATTAAGACAAAGTAGCAAAGAAAGCTATGGGGGGTAAATCCAGGGATAACCATATAATATTATTTTGTTTCCTTATTTTAAAATCCTATAATATTTCCTTCTCATTAAGTCAGAAGCAAGGTTGACATTAAAAATATCAACGAGTAGTAATGTTCCACCCCAAAAGAAAAAAGACAAATATTTCCCCCCCAGCCCCAACACGGCAGAAGTCATATGTGGGATTTTATAGTGTGAAAAACAATTGGTTCAACTGCAGAGGGTGTTCCGGTTAAAAACAGAGGCCCGTGTTGTATAAATAACTGGACTGCATCAAAGCGGCTTTCTGACACTCTTGGGGAGTGACGAAGCGTTGTAATTCAACATCTCAGAAAATATGCTCTCAAAAGTATGGTAGAAATTTTACACACCCTAAATCGGGAGCCTTGATGGCAGCAAGCTTGCATATTATGTGTGCAGCTTTCTTCTTTGCCCTTTCTCCAACCATGTCAGACAGATGGGGGCACAGAATCTGTGCGTTTCGTCTGTCAAGCTCCTTATGTTGAAAGCATAAACAGCAGTCTGCTTTCCTAATCCGGGCTTGAAATGATACCCGATGGAAACGGAAAAAAATTAAGCCAAGATCCAGGATCAGAAGAAAGTACATTCTGGAAAGGTCTGTGCAATTTTTATTAAGTGGAATCAAAGATTTTTTTTTTAACTCAACGATTAAAAGCAAAATTAGACAGATTAAATTATTATCATTTCTCCAGGCAGTAGAGAACGCTGGTATGTACGCCATAAAGAATTGGAACAGGTGCACCCACGGCTCTGTACCAAATATTTCTGCAACTTCAAGAGGTCAGTTTCTTCCATTAGCAACCAGCCTTTCAACTTTAAGAACTCAGATTAAACTGGATCTAGAGTGTCTTAATTAAAGTGAGTGTGGGGCCTTGGATCAGGTTTTGTTCTCTTTTTATTTTCTTACACCATACATCATCAAAATTCGGTACACACACACTTGCCTTTTTCTCTGTATTAACTGAACTTACATAAAATAAGTTTCCATTTGGTCAGAATTACAAGTAAAAACAAAAACAAAAACAAAAACAAAAACAGGCATAACCTTGCAGCTAAAGATACAAAAATCAAACCTATTCAGCTTCACCATTATCCAATTAAAACTCAACAACTTATTTTATTTATCACAATATATACAAGATTTTCTAAATAACTTCAATCTCACTGTCCCAATTTGTAGTTTTATAATAGGAAGATGAGTCCACATTATAATTGTGGGAAACCAACATGCTTCATGTTATTTTTTTAAAAAGGAATACATAACGAGAAAGACACTATTTAAAAACTCATATAAAATAATTTAAAAACCAAAACTCCGACATAATTCATGACCTCAGGAATACTAAAAAGAATCATTGATAAGCTCATACAGACTCTGTAAGCTAAGAATTTACTTAAAATACTAAATTTGAAGAATTTTGCTCATATTTGAGTGAAAAAAACATAAAGACACACATTACAAGTATTTTATGAAGACCAGCAGATGGCATAATGATTACATTGCTGGACTCCCACATAGTTGACTGCAGTTTGAGTCCTGGACCCAGCGGCTTAAACTCATGCCAGATGCATGAGTGTGTGCCCAAAATCCCAAGAGGAGACTGGAGGAGAAGGGATTGCAGTGTGGCCATCCCCAGTGGGAGGGTGATTTCTCACTTTCTGTCTTTCTGTCTCTATCTCTCTCGTGAGGGCACATACCCTATAGCAAAAATCTCTCTCTCTAAAAAAAATAAGAGCATTTTGTGATCATATCACATCTACAGTTCTGATCGGTCATATTTCCCAAGTAATATGAAAGCAAAATGGGTCTGGCTTTTCCCACTTTCTCACGAGCATTTTGTGATCATATCATATCTACAGTTCTGATCTGTCACATTTCCCAAGTAATATGAAAACAAAATGGGTCTGGCTTTTCCCACTTTCTCACCATTTTGCATCTATTCATATAAATGAGAAAGCTGCCTAATCTCAGAAATAAGAGAAAGGTACCTAGGGCTTGAGCAGTCCACAGCAATAGACTCTTCAGCACATATACATAAAAACCGAAGCAGGACAGGAGAGAACACTTGAGATTTCCTGATAGCAAACAATATCCACAACTATCTCTAATGATGAGTGCAAATTACTATGAAAGTTTTAAATGGGATACTCCTTACATTGTTATTTCTACTATGCACAAATTCTTGAAGATGTCTTTTTCAGTTAAAATCATTACATTTCTGAAATAAACCATCATTATTTCCAATTATGTCTCCATTATATATTTTTAAAAAGCAGAGATCACTGCTCTCCTTCTTTTGCCTGAAAGAAAAGTATATCCAGTATAACTATCAAATGTTAAGATACACTTGGACTCCTAGTCCTACTACTTTCCAGCAGTTGGAAACGTCATCATTCTGTGGCATAGTGGTAACGGCGCTGGATTTCCACTCGGCCGATCACAGTTCAAGCCCCAGACACCGTGGCTTGAAAAGCACACCAGGTACATGTGTGTATATGCCCAAAATCCTGAGAGAGGGTTGGAGGAGAAGGGACTATGGGGTGTGGCCATCTCCCCTGGGGGGGTTGTGGTGGTGGTTTCTCACTTTCCCTCTCTGTCTCTCTCCACTGAGCGTATGTACCTTATGGGGGAAAAAAATAAAAGGAAAAAGAAAAAAAGGAAATGCCATTATTCTGGGTTTTGGTGTCCTCTGTAAGATAGCAATAATGGCTATTTCGAAGTGTGACCGAGTTATATGAGATACTATAAGTATTTACTCACATTTCCTTCAACATGAAAGAAATGCTTTATAAATGTCAATTATCACATTCTGGCAAAGCTCTCACATGGATAAAAATATAAAGCATCCATTCAAAAACTACTACAAGAATATATACAAAGTTTCATATCTAGGAACACTCTGCTATGAAAGATCCAAGGATAAGATACTTGCCCTCCAAGTGTAAGAGAGTTTATCTTCTTGGGGGTGATATGGGTATTTGGCAGCACCTTAGCCACGATACTGCACTGACGCTGTTAAGGGTGCTGTGACCCCCAGAGTGTGCATCTACCATCCAGAATTATCGAGCTTAATTCTTCTTCTTCACATGGTTTAAACACAGAGTT